CAACCTTGGAGGTCTTCAAAGAAATAGCAGTGGTCATGCAGCTACTGCACCACATGAGAAGACAATAGTAACATTTTAGAAAAGTTACAAAAAATAACAGTGTAGGAAGACAAAGTTTAATAAACAATATTTCTGTTATGTCTATAACCACAAGGCTATAAGCACTGCTTGAAACAAAAACTGAATGTATGGAAAAATAAAGGTAAGGATATGGTATATTCAAGTCATGTGTGCACAAATCTTCATTGAATGAACAAAATTAAGCCTAAATGTGATAAAACAGAAGAAGAAAAGTAAAGTAAAAAAGGAAGAGTTCAAAACCTATCTTTGTGGGAAGGAATGGAGGTCTGCTTTCTTAAAATTTTAGTGTATGGATTTTTTGCTTGTAAGTTGGATGGTTGTTGGCTGTCGTGTGGGTGCTGGAAACTGAACCCAGGTCCTCTACAAGGGCATCCAGTGCTCTTAACCACTGAGCCATTTCTCCAGCCCCAAGTCTACATTTTTTTTCCCAGTATGCTTTCCATATGTGATTTTTAAAATTAATTATTTTATGTGGATGGGTGTTATGCCTGCATATATGTCAGTGTGCCCATGTCATGCAGTGCATGAGGAGGACAGAAGAGGGTGTTGGATTCCCTGGAACTGGAGTTATAGATGGTTGTTAGCTGCCATGTGGGTGCTAGGATTTGAACCTGAGTCTTCTTCAAGAGCAGCCAATGAGCCATTTTTCTAGCTCCTGGTATGTGACTTTTGAAAGTAGATACATGCATTACTATGATTAGGTGAGTTACATTCTTATGGGTGGTGGCCTGAGACCCCAAAAACAATACAGGCATTTGCCACAGCTGTTGTTTGTCCAAACAAACTAGATGCTTAACACCCTATTATTTAAGACACTACACACACTATAGAAAATCAAGCTGCAACTGGGATGAAAGCCTTCTCCCTGCTGACAGGCTCACACAGTGCTGGAGGGTGCAGGTTGCTGGGGAACTGTCATGAAGTTTCAACTGTAAACTCTGAGTGTATACTGCCCACTATGTTTTACTAAATAAACATGATTTACCCACCAAATTGATGCCTAAATAATTATGTTTATACCCATAGCTTAGTGTTACCATCAGCCTTTTTGCACTAGGAAGCAGTTAACTGTAGATACTCATAACTGGTCAAAGTGCTGAGATTAAGGGACTGTTAGTTGCATGGGACATCTATATCACCCCTCCAAGGCTCAGGAAACATTGGAGAAGAGGGGCTGGAAAGAATTTCAGCAGGAAGAAGGGGAGAAGTGAACACTATCTTTGCAATCTGGATTTCACAGCATCTGTGATAACAAACATAAGACCTGCATGACTGGGCCTGTCAACGTCCTGTTGCATGGGTGGTTGAGGTCCATGAGAACCCATTTTCCCCAGAGAATCTATAAGCAGATAATGGTAGCTGGGGGCACCATGAGTATGTATAAGCAGTTAATGGTCACTTGGGCTTGGGGTTGGAGAGGCATTCTTCTCTGTTGCCAGTGTAACTACTGGGTAATTAGGGGCCCATAAATTTCAAAATAACAATAAAACCCTGAAAGAATAAGAATGAAAGAATAAACTGAGCCAAGATTTGAACCACATAATAAAATTCCACGGCAAATACTCTTAGTATATCATAACATTAAAGATGTATCTATCATTTTGTGTGCGTGTGTGTGTGTGTGTGTGTTTGTGTGTGTATGTGTACTGTGTTGAGTATGGTGCTCAAACAGGTCAGAAGAGGGCATATCCTGTGGAGATGGAGTTTCAGGCTGCTGTGAACCAAACTCAGGTCCTCTGCAAAAGCAACAAATGCTCTTAACTGCTGAACCATCTCTCCAGCCCTTTTACATGAGCTTTAATCAAGAGGTTACCTCACTACAGTGCTGAATTTAAATACTGAATGAAAAGCATACATATTTCTGTGAAACAGTAAACTCAGACTTTAAGATGCAGTCCTTCAATAATGTCTTTTAATAATAATTTTTGTTTTTTAAAATTTTAGTGCTGGTGAATGAATCTGTACTACTCCAACAGCTCCTCTTATTTGTCCACCTAACATACCAACAGCTGTCAACATTTATGCTTCTTAAAATCAGTCAGTCTTTTTCTAGGGAAAAAGGGTGGTTCATACAATAAAAAATGTAGGAGCTAAAACAAAACAGAACACAAATGAGCAAGTTTCAAATAAAATATAAAATTGCTTATGAAAGGAAGCCAAGTGTGGCCTTTATTCCCAGCCCTTAGGAGGCAGAGCCACATGGATCGCTGTGAGTTCAAGGCCAGCTTGATCTATTACATAACGAGTTCCAGGCCAACTGAGGCTACAAGGAGACCCTGCCTCAAAAAGGATGAAAAAATATGCTTACAAAAGAAAACCAATGAGAAATACATTTCTATGAAAATTATAGAAAGGCTAATAATACCCTTAACTAAAAACTCCTTCACATTAAGAAAACTATAGAGGCTAGAGATGACTCAGCAGTTAAGAGCACTGGCTGTTCTTGCAGAATAATTCAATTCCCAGCACCCACATGGTGGTTAACAACTGTATGTAATTCCAGTTCCAGGGGATCTGACACTCTTTTCTGGTCTCCTTGGGCACTGCGTGCACCTACACACATGCAAGCAAAACACACATACCCATTAAAAACAAAAATTTAGAGGCTAGAGATGACTCAGCAGTTAAGAGCACTGGCTGTTCTTGCAGAATAATTCAATTCCCAGCACCCACATGGTGGTTAACAACTGTATGTAATTCCAGTTCCAGGGGATCTGACACTCTTTTCTGGTCTCCTTGGGCACTGCGTGCACCTACACACATGCAAGCAAAACACACATACCCATTAAAAACAAAAATTTAAACAATGCCTAGCTAGTCACGAAAACCAGACGGAACCATATTATTCCTACAATCTACTGACAAATTATACATAACAGATCAAGAAATGTATCTCTAGATAAGGTTTATTTGAGACCAACTGGTCATTACCCAAGATTTATCTGCAGGACACACAGTAATTAAAAATGCCAGAATGGTGGAACTAACCTTCTTGGATGTTTAACAGACATACCCTGAGATCTATACTAATTGGGTCAGAGGGACACAAAGGACACTTTTTGCTCCCTGCCCTCCT